TCTCTCTCTCTCTCTCTCTCTCTCTCTCTCTCTCTCTCTCTCCCCCCACTTTCATACCTATAGATAAAATATATATATACATATATATACATATATACACATATATGTGTGTGTTTGTATGTATATATACAAATATATAACATATATATATGTAAAACACACATCAAATACTATGGCATCTAAATACATAAAGGAAAAGGTAGTTGAAATTGAGAGAAGGATAGTGAAAATATAATAGTGGAGGACCTCAATGTATCAAAAGTTGAAAAAATATCATGCTAAAAAAATTAGAGATGATTATTGAATGGAAAGAGAGGAATTTACATATTTGTCAGGTGTATATGGTACCTTTAGTAAAGTTGAAATAGTGAAAATTAAAGAAAAGATTAATAAAATTGATATTGAATTGATAAATCTAGGAGCTTTTTTTATACAAAGTGGACATTTAGCAATTATGATTTTTAAAAAGAGAGGAAAAAAGCAAATTATTCTTATGAAAATGAAAAAGAATTCACAATCAAAAAGGAAATAAAGGAAATTACCATAAATTATCTTGCCAATTATTTGCTAATAAAATTGGTGATTTTGAGAAAATAAAGAATACTTAAAATATACAATATCCAGATTAATAAAAGAAAAAAGCTAGTTACTTTAATAGCCTAATGTCAGAAAAAGAAATTGAACAAGTCATAAATGAATTCCCAGAGAAAAATAACTTCAGGACCAGATGGATTTAGAAGTTCATTCTAGCAATCATTTAAGAAACAACTAATTCTAACATTATATAAACTATTTGCACTAATAGTAAAAGAAGGCATTCTTCCAAAGTCTATATAACACAACTATGCTCTTGATACTTAAGCCTAGGTAATGCAAAGAAGAGAAGGGAAAATATAAACCAATATCTTTAGTGAATATTAATGCAAAAAATTAAATAAAATATTAATGAGTAGGCTACAAAAGTATATTAAAATATTTTACACTAGTATAGGTTGAATTAATAACAGAAATGTGGGGTTGGTTCAACAACAGAAAGGCTATAAATATAATGAATCATGTTTTTCCAATAAGATCAGGAGTAAAACAAGGATGTTTATTGTCACTACTATTTCACATGTTCCTAGAAATGTTGCCTATAGCACAGAGATACATAGAAAGGCAAAAGACAATTCTTGCTTCAAGGAGCTCACAGTCTAATGGGGAAACAACATGTAAACAATTATATACAAATAAGCTACATACAAGAGGGATCAGAAAAGGCTTCCTATAGAAGGTGAGAGGTGAAGAATTCCAAGAGAAATAATGAAAAAGAGTAGGAAGAAATTGGTTGTATCAGTAGAAGAGCTCAAACTACACTCAAAGCAGTAATTATCAAAATGGTTTAGTACTGCTTAAAAAATATAGAGGCCAATCAGTGGAACAAATTAGGTATAGAACACAGAGGGGAGAAAAACACATTAGCATGTTATTGCATTAAACTCAAACCAAAAAATATCTCCTTAACAAAAATTATTTTAAAAATTTGAAAGCATTTGGCAGAAATTTAGAACAGACTAACATAAACTCAAAGTGGATACGTGATGACATAAAAAAGTGACATCATAAGTAAATTAGAAGTACAAGGAGAAAATATTATCTTTCAGATCTATGGGTAGAGGAAGAACTCATGATTAAACAAGGGATAGAGAGGATCACATAAAATAAAATGGGCAGTTTTAATTATATTAAATTGAAAACGTTTTTCACAAAAATATCTAAGTAAAAGAAGGGAAACAGGTAACTAGGGAAACTGTATATTTCTCTCATAAAGGTCTCTTCTGTAAGATATATAAGGAACTGATTTAAATTTATAAGAAAAAAGGCCAGTTCTCCAATAGCTAAATGAGCAGTTTTCAAAGGAAGAAATCCAAACTGATCGCCATTTGAAAAATGCTCTAAATTATTAATAATGAGCATATTTTAAATACTTTGAAGGATTATCTCATCACTATGGTTATTCCTTGTAATAGTTTAAAGTGGAAATTATCCATTCTTTCCTATCCTGTGTTAACGATAGTCCATGTTCCTATAGCCAAGAAGCCATCAACAAAGTGAGATGTGGTATTCTGTACATATTTCAGTCAATTGTTGTGAAATTGTAAAGAAATGATCTGCCACAGAATATCACTAAATTTCAGAGTTAGGAGGAATCTCTATAGCATTCAAGTCCAATTAATAGCTGAACAAAAATTCTCTCCATAAAAATACCTGATAAGGTTTCTTCCATACTTTGTCTGAAAACATAAAGTGAAGAAAACATGACCTCCTGAAGCAGCTCATTCTTGTTTTGGAAAAGTATAATTGTAAAGAAAGGAATTTTTTAATATCAAATCTAAATATGTCTTTGTCACTTTAAACCATTTCTCCTAGTTTTAATCTCTGAAATCAAGAAGAAGAACTTAATCTCTCTTCCATGTTACAATCCTTCACATAGTCAGTGGTGATGATGATGTTGTCCCTCAATCTTCTCTTCACTTGTCTTTAATTGATCTTCTTCTGTCATGAACTAAAGATGCATCACCACCATGAGTGTCCTCCTCTGGACACTATTGAGTTTACCAGTGTCCCTGAGATGATGTGGTAACTCAAAATGAACACAATGATATAGGTGTGGTATGCTGAGGGAAGACTTCAGAGGAACTGTCACCTCCTTGTAGAGGGCAGCATGGTACAGTGTGAGGGGGAAATTGATGGATTTGAAGTCAGAGGCCCTGAGTCAGAAGCCCAACTTTGATACTTAACCCTTGAGCGGTCTTAGCTGTTGTTGCTCAGTCATCTTCAGTTGTATCTGGCTCTTTATGACCCCATTTAGGATTTCTTGGCAAAGATACTAAAGTGATTTACCATTTCCTACTCCAGCTCCTTTTTACAGATGAGGAAACTGAGGGAAACAGAGGTACGTGACTTGCCCAATGTCACACAGCTAGTGTCCAAGGTTGTATCTGAACTCAGGTCTTCCTGACTCTGCTGTATCCACTGTGCCACCTCGCTGCCTCTGTGGCCTTGGACAACTCACTTAAATATTTCTGAACCCAAATTCCTCCTTTAAAAAATGAAGTGCTTGAATTAGCTGGCCTCTAAGGTCTCTTCTAGCTCCAAACCTAAGATATAATGGATGTTAAGCCTTTCTTAATAAAATCTAGGGGGGGGCACTGCCATATCACAGTAGTGATTTATTTTGAACTTATCCATTAAAATCTAAAAATACATACATGTAGACAGATAGATAGATAGATAGAGATATAGGTGTACATATTACGTGTGTGTGTGTGTGTGTGTGTGTGTGTGTGCACATAGGGGTACGTGAGGTGTTCTGGGAGGACCAGCACCCCTGATGTGAGGGTTTGCCCCCTTTCCAGGGCTACTCATCCACCTTCAGTGTCCACCTGTCACCCAACTCTCACCTGTGACTCCAAGAAGCTACAGCTGGCACAGTGGACATACCCTGGGACAACTGTCTCCACAGATGAGCTAAGTCAGGTTAAGGGTAACCAACAAGCCTCAGAGCTGTTAGTGAATTGGGGTGATGTCTGCTCCAAGCATTGAAAGATTTTCCCTGGAGGAATGAGCAGATGAAAACAATTTGTTCCAATAGCCATGAACACAGCTGAAGCAGGCACTATGGAGTGCTTACAGCTTGGTCTGGCATCAAAGATGCTAAGGTCATTCACTGCATCCTGACCATCGCCTATTAAAAAAAAATGAAGGATGAACAATGACAACAATAACAACATATAGCTATACTACATGTGTATGTACATATCTGTGTGTACACACATACAGACACACATTTATACATATATAATATAGGTCGATATAGATATATAGCCATCTAGGCACACCCTTATCTTGTACTTTTGAAGCTGGCTTTTTTTATGCAAGTCTTCATTGCTCCAATTAAATTGAATAGCATGCTATTCAATTTAATGCCCTAATTTGTAATGACATTTTTGATTCCTTATTGTCATCGGTGTGTTAAATATTACTCCCAGATGTGTGTTATGTTCCTATTTTATAATCATATCACCTATTTCCTTATTGAAGAAAATGACAGAAGTGTTAAATGGCCCCAAACAAGACAAGCCCAGATCCCTGGAATCTGGGAGACTTCCTCCCAAGTTGACATTGAAACATTCATGACCACTTTTTGTAATGACTACTAGATATTCAACCAGTTCTGAGTTCACCTAACTCTGTTCATCTACCCTATACTTCTCCATCTTTTCCACAAGATTACCCCATATTTTTTCTAAAATCTAGGTAAATTATCACTACAGAATTCCCTAGATCAACCAGTTTAGTAATCCTGGGTAGGGGGCAGAGGAGGAGGGGGAAGAAGAAAAATGGGGAGGAGGAGAAGAAAAAGGAGGAGGAGGAGGAAGAAGAGGAGAAGGAGGGGAAGGAGGGAGAATAAGAGGAGGAGGAGGAGGAAGATGAAGCAAGAGAGAGAGAGAGAGAGAGAGAGAGAGAGAGAGAGAGAGAGAGAGAGAGAGAAAGTGCTGCTATTGAAGAAGCCATACTAGCACTTTGTGATCACTAATCCTTTTCCAGACCACTACCACTCTCACATGGAGTTGTGTTGAGAATCTAAACCCAGCTCATTGGCCTGTAGTCTGTAGACTTCTTCTGTTCCTCTCTCAAACTTTCATCAAGAAAGCAAACATAGATTGTCTTCTTAAAGATGCTTTGGTAGTTACTGATTTTTTTGTTTGCCTTTGGAGAGGGATTTTCCCCAATGTCTTGTATTCTCTCTTCTTTCAGATAATCTATCGGTCAACACTCTTAAAATTCTATAATCTTGAGCAGAGGTGGGGAACCTGCAGCCTTAAGGCTACGTATGGCCATTTAGGTCCTTAAGCATAGCCCTTTGACTGAATCAAGAGCCACACTTGAAGACCTAGAGGGCCACAGGTTCCTAAACCCTGAGAGTATAGGCCTCCTCTGTGCACAGTGGATCTTACCCCGCTGTTTTTCTTCTCTCTAATTTCTTTCTGCTTCCTCCTGTCACACACCAGGGCCTGTGATGATCCAGATGTGATGGTTCTATTGTCACTGATGGAGAAATAAGTTTGTTACATAAAGCTTCACAGATTTTGTTCATGGTGGTGGGAGGGGGAGGGCAGGTAAAGGAAGGAAAGGGTGGGGAGAAGGAATGTTTGTTTGATCGCTTCATAGGGTCTTGTGCTATGCTTCCCATCAAGTTAATTTTTTCTCCATCGTTTCTAGATCAGGGTTTTTTTAACCTGAGGTCTATAAAATTACTGGCTTTTAAAATATTTTGACAGTATTTCAATATAATTGCTTTCCTGTGTAAGCCTATGTATTTTATCTTATGCATGTACAAACATTATTGTGAAAGGGGGCCCATAGACTTCATTAGACTGTCAAAGGATTAGACTGGGGCTGGATTAGACGTTTTGTGAACTGTACTGCTTATGATCTGCCATCCTTCTCTGTGAGATTTCAGAAATCCTGTATGAGCTTCTGTTCTTAATCAGTGGTGTCCTTAAATGTCTCAGTTTAGCAAAGAGATCAATTGTTTGTTGTCAGAGGTAGTTTCTAGGCTATTTTTTTTTCTGAATACTGTGGTGACCATTACCCCTAGGACTTTTTCCCTCCACCACAAAAAGTCATAAATAATGTGAAAAATTACCCTCTGCCTTGGAATTACATTTAGTAAATTCTCAAAGCCAAGGTTTGACATTTCCATTTCAGCAAAATGAAACTGACCGTTTTCCATCTCATCCTTCCATTTAAATCCCATCCCCACCTCACCCACTCTCCAAAAAAACTGTCTGAGAATTCAACTACATTGTAGTTTTCCTATAGCACAGGAATAATTCTTACTCAAGTTATTACTGACCTCCTGTTTGCACTGGCTAAAGTCCTTGTCGCCTCCCACTCCCTGAGATAGCAGTATAACCTTCACTCTTGAGTACACTTCAAGTGCAGGGAAGAGGGCAAAAGAAGATCTAGACTGCAGAGGAGAAAGGAACAGAGGATGAACCCATCTTACTATGAGAATCCAAGAGAAGAGGAGAGAAATGTTTGTCTGTTTGCTTGTGTTTTTGTCCCGGGTTCTCTGGAATACTATCCTAACCAACCAAATCGTAGATTCTTAGAGATGAAAAAGGCTATGTATATTTGTAATATGAAATGTAATTCAATGTGATCATGTGTAATATGATATTGCAATATGTATATATAGAATTATTACATATTGTTCCTTTATATAAAATTTAATCATTATTATTATTATCCAAACTCCTTCCTAAAAGAAGCATGTTCTTTCTTTTAACGTAAGATAGTAATAAGTAACAAAAGACATCCTAAATAGAGGTGCCAAAGTGATGTTACAAAAACATAGATCTGATCATGCCACTTCTCCCCAATTTAAGAAGTTCCAGTGGCTTTCTAATATGTCTAAAATAAAATACAAACTCTTCTGTTTGGTATTTAAAACTCTTCATGACACATTGTCAGTTTGGCTTTCTAAAATTGTTACACATTACCCCACTCCATGGCTTCCAGCCAAACTGGCCTGATTGGAGTTCTTCACACACAACATTCACCTTTCCACAGACTATCTCCTCAACCTGGAATGACCCTCCTCACTTCTGCTCCTTAGAAACCTTCCAAGGTTCAACTTAGATGTTGCCACCTAGATGATGCCCTTCCTGCCCACTACCAATACCTAAAGCACCTCCAGAATTTATTTGTATTCATTTTGTACGTATTTTATATTTGCTTATGCAATAACCCCTTTGGATGTGCTCCCCCAGCTCACACCACTGCTGTCAAGGTGCGTCCCCATAAGGGAAACTGTTACCTTGGGTTCTAGAGGTAAGCTTGTGGGTGACTATTCCTAACAATGTTGCTCATGAGCCCCCACCAGTGCATTTCTTTTCATACTCACCTAGAAGACTATCAATTTATAAAAGGCATATACTAAAATGGCAAAGCAAGAGCATTAGTTACAAAGTATTGTCTCTCAAAACCTGAGGCACATTCTCCCACAAAGATATAACATAAATGTTTATGGACCAATTAACTAATATAGAGCCTAAGGTTAGTGAAGCACAAAAACAGACAATGGTAGGGAGGCATAAATGTTGGAAACACATGTAACCAGTATAACTCACAACTCTGGAACAGTAAGGCCTTAATGTCCCTTCTTATTCTTCTGGAGAGTTTTTAAATTCACTGAAGGGCAGGGTATCAGTGATGAAAGAGTCATTCTGTTGCTTGGCTAAGCAGGCCCCTTATAGGTCATGATATCTCTGCTAGCTATGACGCTTAGCTGGTTTTGCTTTTGGCTGGACGGAGTGATCTACAGCTGCCCAGCTACTGAACTGGGTCAAACAGGTTGCTTAGACACTGGGCTCTTGATAGGATGTACCATCTTTGCCAGATGAGTAAACACATTAGAATCCTTGGGCTTGCTCTCTGATGGATGGCTCTACTTCCCCTTACCTCCAGCCTCCAGCTCAGCTGGGTGTTACTCTGTTCTTTTCAGTTGGCATGCCACTGTGCTCTTTCAGCAAGGGCAGTGGCCCTTAATCCTGAACTTGCAGAAACCTAGAAGTCTGTCTTTTTTGATTTTACCAGTCTCTTGGCTCTGAATTCTATCACCTCTGGTTGTAGCTTCTGGTGTATGACAATTTTTTTCCTTTAGTTCAGAGTTAGCCAGTTACATTTCTCAGTTTCCTGTTGGGGTATTACGTAGGTGAGTAAATGAGGACAAGGATATGAAGGTAGTCAGTGCCTTGAAGAAAGTTTATTGTCTTTGCTGGCCTTTTTATATACAATTGAGCTGTTTAAGCCTCAAACCTTTTCCAAGGTGTGGAATGGTTCTTTTATATCTAAAAGGGTTGTTCTTTATGGTTGAATGTCTCTGCTTTTGACCTTTCCGATCTTCAATTTTCTGAGGTCTACATGGAGTAGCACTTTACACTTGTCTACATTCATGCTCTTTCCCTAAATCAAATAGTATATACCCTTCTTTATTATGCTTTTGTCTCTGCATTTTTAGTACCTAGCACAGCACCTGGTACATAGTATCCACCTGACAAATATTATTGAATGAAATTTATTTATTCACCTTATTCACACTTTGGTAATGACATCCAACTTCTGCTAATAGAGGGCCTCGTAGCAAAAACCTGGCTTCTCTTACTTCTCTTGCTGCTTCTGAGCCTGGGGAGTCTACAAGCCAAATCACCAGTACCTGAATGATCAGGAGTTGATTACCACGAATTAACCAGAGTAATGGATAGCAAAATCACAAGTAATTACCTGATGTCATACTATTGTTGCTATGCTGAGAACAACAAAAATAGACAGTCATCAAAAGCTATGACTCAAATCCAACTCATAAATTTTTTTGGAGAAGTACAAGGTCAACTATCCCTTTAAATCCCTATTTCTAGTTGTTGTGGACCAGAACAATAAGGGAATCAGGGTGGCTTGAGTTAAAGGTCGCACTTACACAACACCAATTGGGGCTATTATGAGCCACAGTACTGGGGGAAATTCAAGTTAATGTTGACCCCAGGTGGACTGAGCTGAGATTCATCTATGGGCTCTTTGAGGCAAAGAAGATATAAAACCAGCTTTCAGTCTCTTGAGGAGGGCCCCTAAAACCACTAAGATCTTCCTCATAGATTGCTTTAATTTCCTTGTGGGCTGCTTGTCTGATTTTATTTTTCTGTGGTCTGCTTTTACCATGTGATGGAATGCTTTTACCTGGTCTTTATCAAATGCTTTTTATTAAAGACATTGTGTGCCTTAGCCCTTAGGCTCAGAGTGATCAATTATTCCAAATATGGAAGCACAGCTGAGACATTCGTATTGCAGAGTCCCTTTGGAAGTTAATGAGAGCTTTGTGAGTAGAAATATTAGGAGAGGAGTATTGAGAGAGATGAGGATTTGCTGCTAAGACTGAAATAATGGCAGCCATCTGAAAAAGATATTGTGATATTATCAAAATGTGACTAATAACCTGCCATAAGTAATTTCCTTTTATTTTCAGCCATTATGCCAATAAAAGTATAGAGAAAACTGAAGCAAACGAATGATAACTTCCCATATAATGAGGACATGATGCATGGACTCCTAGATTCTGCCCACAGGTATTCAGTCATTTACGTAGTTATACCATTTTGCTATCGTAACCAAAAGAGGACTGGTTTACATTCATTTAAGTGGAATTTTACTTGCATTTATTTTTGAGAAATTTAAAGTGTCCTGGTACATCGTATTGTTGATTTAAGAATAATCAATAAATGTTTCATAAGAAGTGTAAGAGTACCTTTACATTGAAATTAATCATGTATGGGGTTTTCAGAGGACCAGCACCTCTGATGTGAGGGCTTGACCCCTTTTCAGGGCTCCTCATCCACCTTCAGGGTCCACCTGATTCATCCAACTCTCACCTGTGGCTCTAAGCAGCAAAAGCATGCAGAGTGGCCACACCCCAGTCAACCGTCTGCCAAGACGGGCTAACCAGGTTGAGGGTAACCAACAGGCCTCAAATCTTTTGATGAATTGTTAGGGAAATGTCTACCCCAAACAGATGAAGACTTTCCCAGGAGAATGGGTGGATAAGAACAATTTGTTCCAATGGCCATGAAGGTGGTTGAAGCAGGTGCTACAAAATGCTTAGAGCTTGGTCAGGCATCAAAGGTGCCAACGTCATTCACTGAAGCCTGACCGTCACCAGTCATCTTGGCTTTTGTCCTGCCACTAGACTTTGATGACTGTGGAAGAGAGAGAGTGAGGCTGACACTTTGTGTAACTCTGCCTCACTTAAGTCCAATTCACAGGCAAGTCAGTATATCACCCCTGATGTCATTGGTCCTCTTTGAAAATGAAGGACAAACAATACCATGTATTTGCAAATCATTCTTCTGATTCATGTATGAGTAATTTGGGGATAGGAGCAGGTATGTGGTGCAGTAGATAGAGCACTGGGCCTAGAGTCAGGAAGACTCAGCTTGTGAGTTCAAATCCAGCCTCTGATACTTACTAGCTATGTGACCCTGAATGAGTCACTTAATCCTATTCACCAAAGTTTTATCTTCACCAAGAAAAACCCAAATAGGGTCATGAAAAAGAGCAACAACAACAATTTTTTGGACTGGATCTGTGATTTCATTGGCATAAAGAACTCTTAGTGATGGAAACTTTATCAATGCAAATGAGCATTTATCCTTCAATTTATATGGTGCATATATGAAGGCTCAGAGGGAAGAGTGGTTGGGTGAAGATCAAATGAGATAATATTTGTAAAAGAGTGCTTAGCATGCTGTGCATCAGGATAATAGCAGTCTCAGGGAAGAGAAGAACATGCATATGAGATGTGTCATGAAAGTAGAATCAACAAGACTTAGCAATAGATAGGATGTAGGGAGTAAGAGACAGTAGTGGAAATGGCCTTAAGGTTGCTAGCATTGATGGCTTAGGAGGATAGTGGTGTTCTCAGCAAGAATAGGGAGTTATTAATGGGAAGAGATTTGAGGGAAAAGATAATGAGCTCAGTTTCAGACATATGAGTTTAAAATATTCATCCAGGGGGGCAGAGCCAAGAGTAAAAGCAGTGTCTTGCTTGAGCTCTCCCCTAAATCCCTCCAAATACCTATAAAAAATGGCTATAAACAAATTATAAAGCAGCAGAAGCCACAAGAAGACAGAGTGAAACAAATTTGGAGCCAACAACAGCCTGGATGGTTGATCAGAAAGGTATATCGTGATGGGAGAGGAGCGCAGTTCAGAGTGGGCACATGGGCCATAGCGAACCTGGAGCAGGCCTCAGAGGACTGAATCACGGGCAGCTGCAGTGGTTCCCAGACTTCTCAACCCACAAATGCCAAAGACAACTTAGAAGGTCAGTAGGAAAAGTCTGTTTCTGTGGTGGTGAGGGAGGAGCGCAGGTCTCAGTTCCAGTTCCCAAGCTCAGCCCTAGT